GCGACAAGTCTCCCCTAAAACACCACAATATAATAAAAAAAACTACCGCAATAACACCACAGTTCCACGGCAAGGCCTTGCCAATATCACCATAATACTACCGCGATACACCCTCAATAACACCGCTGCCTTGCCCCCGCAATAACTCCACGATTCCGCGGTAAAACCACGCAATGACACCGCAATATTACTGAAATAACACCGCCCCCACGCCACCGTGGCAAATCTCTGGATAACACCCCGCTTCCGCCCAATACTCCCCGATAACACTGGCTTTTTTTTAATTCATCGCCAATAACACCACGCTGTCACGCAATACGCTGGCAATAACACCCGTGATTTCGATTTCTCACCAATATTGATTTAATAATACGCCGAATAACACCTCCAATAATACCACTTGCAACGGAACCGCGGTAACACCACAATACAACCTGAATAACACCACCAATAACACCACTTACCACGGATCCGCGGTAATACCGCAATACAACCCGAATAACACCGCCAATAATACCAGCTGCCACGGAACCGCGGTAACACCTCAATACAACCTGAATATTACATCCTCAAATAACACCCAAACGAGTGACCTGAAAATCATTTTCCTTTTTAATTTACTTTATAAACACACCGCATGGTACATTTGATCTTTCACCCTCTTCCCAAAATCCCTCCTCCTCGAAGCTTGCATCTGTTCCATTTTTTCGGCAACAAGCTTCCTGTTTTGGTAGGTATTCATCCGTTTAGCCTGCTTTTCCAATACATTCGATGAGCAAGGTGATCCCCTTTCTGAAATTTTTGCTCGACAAAGTAACCCCGTTTCTCTTCTTAACCCAGGAGCCCTATCTAGGTTTCTTCTGGTTTTCCCTCCTCTTTCCTCGGTTATATAATCCATTGGAATGAGAGGGTTAGAGGTTGTTGAAATTTTGTTGAATTTTCACTGGTTGTGTGCATTTCGATTTGGTGTTCTTGGAGCTTTTGTTGGATTGAAGGTTCTTGTGCTCAGTTTCTTGCTCATTCAGGATGTAAGGATTTCATCTTTTCTCTCACTAACAACCCTTTATTTGACTAGGATGATTCCTTAGCTTCACCATTGGATTTGGTAATGATCTCTTGCATTTTTTTGCTCTCCATACTTGGTCTGGTGGGCTCATGAGAGCTACTTGATCTCATAATGGCTTCGTTTTATGGATTTTTGAAAAATCTGAAAAGCTTCATTACAAAAATCTGAAATGTCTATGGTTTTGGTTTATGCAATTCAAAGCTTTGAAAGTCTCATCTTGGGAAATAACAAAATCGTTATGGCTCTGTTTTTATTGTTTGGCTTAATTTTGGGAAATGTAAAGTGTTATGGCTTAGGTTTGTACAATTCAAAACCTTGAAAGTATCATTTTGGGAAGTTTTGAAAATCATGGTTTTCTTTTGTTGTTTCATTGGAACAAATGCTTTAGTGCCTTGCTTAAAAAAAAAAAAGGAATCGTGAAACCTTTTTTATATTTTATTTGCAAAGCTTACGAATGTTTTAGTGCTTCACTTGTAAAAATCTGAAAAGCTTGATGTTTCATCTTGTCCCCTTTGTTAAAATCTGAAAGTTTGTTCAAGGATTTGTGAAAATTTAAGGAGGCTTCAACATTTTATTTGCGAGGTTACGAAAGTTGTGAATGCTTTACTCTTAAAAAATATATGAGAACTTATATGGTGTTGCTTGCAAGAGTTCAAAAGTTTTGACATTTTAATCAAAAAAAATCTGAAGGTTTTGGCGCCTTGCTGTTTTGCTTTGCACATGCAGTTGTTATGTGCGAATATATACTTTTTTGAGGCTTTAAAATGCTATTTTCTGGTCTTAAATAAGTGTAGATTTTATGCTTGAATGTGTTGTTTGGAGGGATTCGAATGCCTCTTTTGGGCTGATTTGTTTGTTATTTTGGGACAGATTTATTTGCAGTTTTTAGGCATGCATGGATGCTGTTTTGAAGTGGATTTAAATGCTGGTTCTAGTTTATATATTCACTTTCTTGCAACATGGTTTCTTTGCTATATTCTTATTGATTTTGGGGAGAAGTTTAATTGATATTTTCTTGCTGATTTTGGGAGAAGTCTATATGCTATCTTGGTTTCCTATATTCATTGTTTGGGAGAAGTTTAAATGCTCTTTTTGGGGCTGGTTACTTGCTGTTTGGAAAATGTTTAAATGCTGTTTTTGGGCTGCACACTTATTGTTTTGGAGTGGATTTAAATGCTGTTTTGGGCTACACAGTCACTGTTTTGGAGTGGGTTTAAATGCTGTTTTGAACTAATTTAAGTGCTGTGTGGAGAGGTTTAAATGCTGTTTTGGGCTGATTTAAGTGCTGTTCGGAGAAGATTTAACCACTGTTTTGGGCTGGTTTAATGGCTGTTTGAAGAGGATTTACATACAGTACCACTTAATTCCCATATGTTTACATGATTAGCACCAAATATTGAATGTTTGCATATCTTCCACCCTAACTATATACGTTGAAGACATGTTTGACTTTTAAAAGTGAAGTGATATTGGTTGTGAAATGAAGGATTTGGATGGCATACTCAAAAGTAAAAATTGGATTTTAGATATGCAACTATATGTGAACTGATTGATATGCATGTAAACATCCCCAACATTCTCATACACTTTCCTTAAAATCTAAAAGTCTTGATCTTATTTTTTTTCTTGAGTTTTTATTCATTTCACTTTCTTGCTTGATGGTTTAGTCTATGTGTTTATGGTCAAATATACGTGCGTATAGGGTAGTGATATATGGATCGAGCAGGGCTATAAGCTGGATGGTTTGGGGGTCAAATGCTATGATGATGAAGGCATCTAAGTATGTGTAAGGATAGTATTGTACCTCCCGACCCCGAGGACCTCGTCCGTGTGCATAAGATTGATATTACTATCCTTCAACATTTGGGTAAAGTGTTGCTCTTGCTCTCAGGAGCTGCTAGTGACACTAGCCTAACAGTTTGACCGACTTGAGAACTGTTTGATTTGTAAAATGTAGGAACATGTAATACAACATATTTTTCGATAAAACTTATATTTTGTCTGTTAAATGAAAGACTTAAATTCTTTATATGCATGATAAATTAAGAATTATGAACACAACTTTTTGCAAGTTCATGTGTGAGTCACATAGACCGGGTTGGGGGTCGCACTCCCTTGATTGTCTTGCTGGAAGTCTTTTTTCCTATGTTGGGTCTCACAGACATGATGTTGATAAAGTCATCAGGGCTTCGATCCTGATGCTGAATCTATTCGGAACATGAATTCTTATGGTTCGCTCTGATATTTCATATATGTGTTACTTGAGCTTTTATTTACATGTGTGTCCATGCTCTTAATGCTTATTTAATTTATTACAATACTGACATGCTTTTCCTGTAATGCTAATCCTTTTGTAGCAGCGGCAGAAATCCCTTGTATTTTTCTGCATTATTCTTTCACTGCTTTTTACTCATGCATGATTTACTTTAAAAACTTTCAAAACCCTAGAGTAGAGAACAGTAGAACATTAGTTTAAGAGGCACACCGCGACAGACCACTGACCCAACAATATTGGATGTTCGCTCATAAAATCCTTAACTTAAAGCCGCTACGATATGGAGCTTGGAGCAAATCTTGTGGGCAGCATGACGAGGAAGCAATTCTGGCAGAGGACAACTTCAAGCAACAGAGCAAGACAAAACAAGAAGCGGATCTACTCTAGCTAAATTGTTTTTAGGCTTTAAATAACATAACCCATAGGACTTTGAGGTTGTTCATCTAGCACGACGTAAATCCTTTCTTCTTCTTTAGTTATTTGCACAATCATATTGTGCAATATAAGCCATACCTCTCTTAGGATTTCGAGGTTGCCGTTCGCTGCAACATAAATCTTCCTATCCTCTTAGGCTACTTGCATAATCGAATATTATGCAAGTGTAAGCCCTAAATTTAAATAAATGACAGAAGTAAACATTAATAACATCATTCCAAAATATAAAGCCAAATAATATGATTGTTTGGAAAGTCATCGAGGTTCTCCTCTGAATCTGTGACGTCCCTGCTTCTCACTCTTTGGACTCCAAAAATAATTTTTCTTCCTTGAGCCATTCCCACTTAACTTCTCTGCGTTCAATCTTGAAAATTTAAACTTTGAAATCTTGAAGACTAAACCACCGATCTTAATCGATAGTTTTCTTAGGGGATTTTGATTTTCTAAGATGTAATTAACTATAGGAGTTTGTCTCTATGGGAAACTAAGAATCCAGGTTAAATAAACCCTGTCTAATCCTTATATTAGATAGGAGAATTGTCTTTCATAAAATTTGCAGACGAAAATAGAGTCATAAGCTTCTCAGTTTAAGTGGTTAAGCCTGCTGATAAGTGATACGCTGATCTTTCGAGATGATATATCACTTGTGGTCTCGTGCTCAACTATCTAAACTATAATATATATAAGAACTATTCAGTCACATTTTTCAAAATTAAAATACTATTTTTTCAATATCAAAATTATATATATTATATTAAACTATATTCAAAGCAATCGACAAATTCCGAAAGGCGACCGACAATTTCTTCTTGGGTCGGTTCAGTTCAGTTTGTTGCAATAATTCATCGCTGATTTTGTTGATCTAACTGCTCGTAAAACTATGATTTTCATTTTTTCTGTCCATCTCATCATTATCATTTATGTAATTCATTTCTGTCCAAAAGAGCGGTGTGGTTCAATGTGAATTGACCTTCAACAATCCATGCCAAGAGAAGAGATAGCTCTTTTTTTAGTTCCATGAAGGTTCTTCATATTTCAGCTTTGAGAGTCCATTTTGCTTATACTTTGCGTAATCAGTTATAATAGGTGAGTTTTATTATGTCTTTCTTGTTGAAGGTTCTTTTGAGTATCAATAGATATTTTCATACTTTTCCTATTGTTTGCCTTGCTACTTTCTCGAACAAATTTATTTTTTTTATTTGTCAAGGTTGAATTTCACTTCAGGCAACTGTTCGTGTGATTGCATCAGAACTTGGTTCTCAGCTGTATGAATGGACCGCTCCTACACCAACATTGTGGCAAGAGCATTTACATATTGTAAATTCAGGTACTTAATATGATCACGATAATTGTACCAAAATAGTGATATTGCATAGGTCATGTCGCTATCATGCTGTCTATGTATTCTGTTAGAGCCATGACCATGAGTTTCTAGATGTTATTAGATATTCTAGTTGTTTGCGAGGTTCTTTTTACCGTCATATAATTACTTTTCATTATAGCTATAACTATTATATGTTATCGTGAAATTTGAATGCTGCTTCTGCTTTGTTTTTTGCAGATTTGCTCTTTATTTCTGTAACTGCAGTGGTTGTAACTTGTTTTTGTGCACTCTTCTTTTACCTTTCTCTATGATCATGGTATTAATCAAAGACTATTATTTTCTCTGAATATTTTTTTTTATTTAATGTTTGTAATTAATGTTTTATTTTAATGCTGCATTTTTTTTTGAAAAATATGTTAATTATTTTATGAGTTCCTATTCATGCATGAAATTATTGAAGGGACATGCTTCATTTAGTCCCCAATTGGTGATGCTGTAGTTGAATGATCTTTTGACGCATATTTATAGATTTTTTATCAAGCTGATTATGATCAAACATGACTAGCACTATTTTAGGGTTCCTTGGAGGTTGTTTGGACAGATTTAGGGCGGCGGTGATTAGAAAATAGTGAAGGAACGAGAATATGAGGTGGCATTTGTATGGGGATGGACATTGTTTGGCGGCTGTACAAGCTGAAAATTGTATAGAGAACTTTGAAACGATGACGTAGGGGAGGTGAGGAGGTTCATCACACATTCTTGTACATGCAATAGATGCACCACTTGCAAAAGGAAGATGTTACAATACTTCTTGTCATGACCCAACTCGGTGCTTAGATTTGTCTAAAGCAAGAACTGCGCTCAGACGATGTTAACATTTCATTTTTATTTTACACAAAATTTTTTAAAACTTTTAATATATAAAAGAACCACTAATTCACAAAGTGGAATAAAATTAAATATTTAAAAACAACATAATTAAAAAAATTACATCTCAAACTAGTACTGAGCAATATATCAATATTCGAAGGAAACAGTAAAAGTAGACTACAAGCATAACATAACTATTACCTATCAGCTGTAGTCCTCACGTAAATCAAATCTCTCATATCAGACATATCAACCTAAAATTTCTTTTTTTTTAAAAGAAAATATTAATTTCAACTGTAAGTTTAAGTTTGATATAATAAGTATTTATAATCTTAATATGCATTAAATTATGATGCTTATGTTATGTGTGAATGACCAAAAGAAAATGCAGATTATTATTTTATATTAACCTAAACTTTATTTTTAATTTTTTTTCTTGCCCGTTTCACTTAAAGTATTTATCATTTTAAGTTCTTTAATAATCATAGCAGGATTATCGTGATATCCGAAGATATTCTAAATAATGGGCTCAAAGACCTAAAAAATGCACCCGAATGTACCGTTAAAATGTACCCGAAGATACCTTTAAAATGTACCAAAAAATACTCACATTGTACCTGAAGGTAGACATTTATTGTTTCCTTTAACTTGCATGGGCACATTACATGCCCTGCCAATACCATCTGCGGGTAATCCTATATGACTTAGTCATTTACTTAATGAAATACTTGTTTTGAACTATTTAATAAAATAATTATTTATTTAATAAAATATTAAGTTAATGCATAAAAGAAAATAAGCACTTATCTTTTCTTAGCTTGCTTGCCATACCGACTCCCTAACCCCTGACCTTCTAGGCTTAAATGTGCTTCAATTTAGATTGCAGTTGAATATTAATGTTTTAATAAATATAAATTCTAAATTAAATAAATTAAACTTTAATTTTTAGGGGTTTTTAAATACATTTAAAAGTTTGGTATTTACATATACAACACCTGAAAGTTTTTATTTACGTCCACAACTTCTAAATTCCCTTAAAAGTAATAATAACAACTCATGTAAATTCATCTTTTCCGTCTTCTGCTCTTCGTCATATTTAGTTGTCGAACAACTTTGCCAAGGATTTAGTCGACTGCAAGGAGGGAATTTTAGATGACCAGAGGAAGGCCTTGTGGCCGTCTAGCACGGCCAAGTTGCCATCTTTTACGATGGCGAGTCTCTAGTTCTCAAATTGCCATCTTCTGTAAAGGCTTCTTCGACCAAGACGTAAGCGTCACGTAGATGTTTACTGGAAGCTTTGGCGAGGGGCTTTCTAGAGCGTGTGCTATTGTGGCGTGGGGGGATTGTCTGGCGGCGAGCGCTTTGAAATTTTTAAGGTTGAAGAAGAAAACACTGAGACTGGAATCTTCAGTGATAGCGTCACGGTCTATGTTCTCTTCGTGAACTGAGATTTTTAAAATTAGGGACTCAAGGCTTTTTTTATGTAAGGAGAAAACTTGGTCCCGACTGCTCGAGTTTAACCACTCCATTCCCTTTTTTATGGAATGACTGTCAATTACAATTTTGTCGGGGAAAGGTTGTCGAAGGAGACATGGGTGACACCGATGGGAAGTGGTTTGCCAGGGAAAAGCTGGTAGCTTGGTGCGGATTTTGTCACTGACAAGAACATGAAAGAGATGAGGGTGACAGCTGAGAACTTGAGAGGATCTTGAGAGGAGAGGAGGAGCTGAATGCATAAAAGCTGCCCATGTTCAAACACAAGATCAATTTGTTAACCAATCGATTGGATTAGAATAATCAACGGTGATGAAAGAAATCCTTTAGCTTGCGGAGCTGTTTGACAGTGGCAACTAAATGCATGTAAGTGGGCTAGTGATGATAAAGTCATGTTTAACAGAGTGCTATCATTGTGAGTTTAAAGAGGTTTTGTGTGCTTTGAGGGTAAATATAAACTTTCATGTGCTGTATAATCAAATATCAGACATTTAAATGCTATGTATGTAAAAACTCCTAATTTGTAATTAAAACATACATTTTCTTTTAAAATTATCGATATTCTTTCTCAAATCCAAAGGATTTGTAGACCTTCTTTCTCGCTTCCTAAGAATAATAAAGTTTAATGACATTAATTTAACTAATTATATTTTTAGTTTTAAGAATAACATAAGAACTAACATTTACCTTATAGGTTTTGAGATCAATCTCATCCCTTGCTTCACAAACTTTTCCTTCTTCCAAGTTGAAATCTCTAATTTTTTGAGTCCTTATTTCCAAAAACTTTCCATTAACGTTATTTAATAAACATACCCTCACAAATACATATATAAACATTGATCAAAATCTCAAGTAAAATCTTAAACTTACCTTATAAGTTTTCGGTCTTAGATCCCTAACACGGACAAAGTTCTCCTCTTCTTCCTTCTTTTCGGTCTCAGCTCGACCACGTGAGCTCCTCTTCTTCCTTCAATCCTGTCTCACCCTAACAAAGTACGCCAGCTTCGACTCCATCCTTAACGCGACGTCTCGACCCGACGAGCTTTCCTTCTCTTCTCAACAAAGCCCCAGGTCACGTCTCCTCCTTCGCTTGGCTTGATGCAGACAACATGTACACGCAAGGATTGCCGACTCCTTCCTCTACACACAAGCACAACGTCGATGCCTTCTTCGGCTAGGGCTTAGGGTAGAAACAAGTGAGAGACACACTCTCCCTTTTTCTTCCTCTCCCTTGAATGTCGTTACTTCCTTTTCACGCGACTTCGATTCCTCTTCCTCACTTGGCTAGGGCACGTCATCTTTTTTGATTTCTTCTTCTCTCGTTCTCTTTATCCTTCGCTTGCTTGTTTCAGATGAGGGGGAATGCAGAGTGTGCTTTAAAAATGCTGTGAGGGGGGGTGGGGGGGGGTGCGACTCCTCTATTCGCCAACACCCCTTTTTTATTTTTATATTTATTATTGTTATTATATATATTTAAAAAAATTCAGTTATTATAATCTCCCATTTCTATAAAAATTTAGTCCTCAAAATTTGAAATAAAAAATGATTGATTATACCTGAAAAGAAAAGTTGAAGATATGTTTCATGCATCTTTGAGACTTTCTCTTAAATAACATCCTTCTCCAACCAATTATTCCATAAAGTTTTTATAAAAAGAATCTCTTTATTTCATAGGTACCAACTTCGTTTGCGATATACTTTTTCGGTGAAGAAAGGTGAAAAATATTATTCACCCGTTGCATATGAGCTGTAAAGCTAATATGTAAGCAACATTTTCATTCCTCTCCATGTTCTCAAATGGACCGATATATCTGAAGTTCAATTTTTCTGTCTTCCCAAAATGTTGCACGCTCTTCAATGGACTAACATTGATAAAAACAAATTATCCAACATCAAACTCAAAAGGTCTGTGTTTGACATCATAATATTTTCTCTGTATATCCTGCACAACATTCAATCTGTCTCGGATCAGTCTAATCTTCTCAATAGCATCATCAACTAAATCAGCTCCAATGATATTTCTTTCACCTGCTTTAGCCCAACATAGAGGTATCCTGCACTTCATTTCATACAAGGCTTCTTATGGAGTCTTCCCATTGCCAACATGATAATTATTATTGTAAGCAAACTTTACTAAAAGTATATGTGTTTCCCAACGTCTACCATAGCTAGGATAAATAACCTTAGTAGATCCTTCAAAGTCTGAATAGCCCTCTCTGACCGACCATTTGTCTGAGGGTGAAATGCTGTATTGAACGTCAGTCGTGTGCCCAAGAAAAACCACTCTTTTAAGCCAAAATTTATATTTAGAAAATTTGACATAAATTGCATCTCCTTTAAAATCTGTAGCACAACATATAAATGATTTGCATGACTGATTTCATTCCTCGAATACACCAGAATACAACTATAAAGACGATCACGAAAATATGCAAAAATTGCTTAAAGACTTTGTTCATTAGGTTCATGAAAGCTGACGGAGCATTAGTTAGTCCAAACGATATCACCACGATTTCATAATGCCCATGTTTGGTCCTGAATTCTGTCTTCGCGTTGTCTTCTTCTTTAATCCTCAACTGGTGAATAGTCTGATCTCAGACCAATCTTTGAAAATATAGGGGCCCCTTTCTGCAGGCCAA